ACATGAAATCTTGCCTGACCTTCCGGTTCAATTGTCTATTGCTGACAATATTCCAAAACCTTGCCTTTTAAAAAAATATTTGCACAACTGAGCGTTTTGTTCCCATATTACGTCGCGCAAGTGATCGCCTTGACTATTTAGTGCTGTCAAAAATTCTACTTTATGTACGCAAATTATTGTTAAATATCTCCTCAACTATCGAACATAATAAGCTCTCCAGCTTTTGCAAAGTGACTTGTATCAAATTGTCTTTAAGGATCAATATTTTGGAAACAACTGTTACTGTTAGCTATATTCCAGAAAATACCGTAATGAATACTAATTCAAAAATCCCAATGGGTGGTTTCTACATATTTTAAAAGGTTTACAGCTAGAACAATGTCGCTTTTAAAAGCAAGTCCGTCATTTTTTTCTAATCGCGAGATTATCTTTATTGAACTCATGTTTTCAGAACTATTAGTTATAAAAAGGTGTTCACTATAAAATTAATTTCTAGAAACTAGTAAGCAAAAGGTGTGTGAGAAGCGGGAAGTATTGTGAACAAATTCTATTTTCCACGTGAAGGAGATTAATAGCATTTTATATAAATCAATGAAGAAAAGTTTTAAAAACTAGCCTCAAAGTTGTGGAAAAATATGATTAAGTAAAGACAAATCGTTACTAACTGCTGTTCAAAGTATGGGCGACAATAATTCAACCGTTAAATAGATACTTGAGGATACGTTGAGCCACGAATTTTTGACGGCACTGTAATTGCTTCCTTAGAATTGCAAAGTTCTATCTGACATTGTAAGTCGTTTGGAGTTACTAATACCATGAGGTCTGAGATCAAATGTTCTATTTTCTGCTCCACCAAAATGTCAGATTTTTCGGGGACGTTCAGGGATATTCAAAGAATTGCATTAAAAAAAAGCTTGACATGTGAGACTGAAATGTTTTAACGTCAAATTTCTAAGAACAATAGTGCAGTCAGAAATACGTGGCGCAATTTATCCCCAAACATCTTTTTAACACGTGAATCAATGTCACCCATACTTTGCACACCATTTGTATCAATTTTTCTAAACTTAATCAAAAATTTCCAGAACAATTGAGACTAGATTTAAAAACGTTTCTTCGTAAATTGATATAAAATAGTAAAAGCTCCTTTACGCAGAAAATGGAATTGTTTACAGCAGCACTTCCCACTTCTCACTTCCCTCACACATTTTGTGTACGCATAAGGCTTACGTCACAGCTCACTAATGACAATTTTAGTGGTAAAACTAGATCTAGTTACAAGTAATTATTTTTATAGTGAATTCTTTTTTTAACTAAAAGTTTTAAAAAAGGCGTTCAGTAAAGATAATCTCGCGAATAAAAAAAAAAAGACGGATTCGCTTTTAAAAGCTCTATTGTCCCAGCTGTAAACCTTTAAAAATCAGAAGAAACCACACACTAGGATTTTTTTACATTTGTATTTATTAAAGAATTTTCTAGAATACAGCTAACAGGTGTTTACAAATATATTGATCTGTTAAGACAAATTAATACAAATCACTGTGCAAAAGCTGGATAGTTTGTTTTCAATATTTTAGGAGATATGTGGCAATAAGTAAGTTGAGCCACGAATTTTTTTACCACACTTTAGGTACTGAACACGTATAACTTTGTATTTCTAGGGTAGAGTAATATGAAAACGTGGTCAAGCGTCATGGGCAAAGATGGACGTTATAGTTCACTTTCTGCCACCCTCATCCACCCACTCACATAAGCCAACCGACCGGCGGTGTATGGCGGTTATGATGAAAGTAGCCGTTTGCCTCGTCGCTACCCTAGAATTACCCGATTCTATATATTATAATATCTGCTTAGTACCTAGTTTTGAGATATTTGACGTTAAAAATTTTGAGCTTCACATTATGTCAATCTTTTTCCAAAACAATTCTGTGAATATCTTCATAACGACTCCGAATAATCTTACGATATTGATAGAGGAGATAGAGCAAAATTTGTGAGGCAGTGTGGTGATATCAGGCGCTCGTCAAAATGATGAAATTATTGAAGAAGCAGTCATCTTTCTACCAGTTTGGAAATTTTCATCTAATTTTTGTTTTTTGAATTAACACCATTGTTGTCCACTAAAGAGCACATTTCAGAGCGGATTTTTTGTACTGAAAAAAAAAAAAACGTTGATTGATTAAAGGCACAGAAATATAAGTATTAAGTTTCAATGGACTCTCAAGCTATGGAAATAACAAACTTTGGAGGTCATTTTCTCGCTAATTCTATATTTGAAACCAGGCAACTCCACCTTCTTCAATCTTAAATATCTTCACTTCTATTCAAGACTCATGGCTACCTTTTTCACTGATAGCAAGCCAACTGAACAAGATACCAATAACGCCACATGCCCACAAATTGACGAGCGCCTGATTCCACCACGTCGTGACCCATTTGGTTTCTTATCTCACGGACCTAGTAACTCATTACGGTCAAAAATGTCAGGTAGAACGGTGTAATTCTGATATAGCATCATGTCAATCTAAATATTATATCGTTTCCCGGTAGGGGTGCCACATATGAAAAGAGGTAGTGGAGACATTGCCCAAGATGTTTTACTATTTTACAGATGCTATAGGGATATTTTGTTATACTGGGTTTTTTCAAAAATGGATTTTGCCCAGGTTTCGGATAGATAGGTAGATAGATAGATAGATAGATAGATAGATAGATAGATAGATAGATAGATAGATAGATAGATAGATAGATAGATAGATAGATAGATAGATAGGAGGCATTAATCAAGCAGTATAATTCTTCTTTGAATCACTGGTTGGGTACGATATTACACATTCTCTTTCAGTTATAACACCGAAAAATCAGTTTCTCAATATAGAAGGGTTTAAGACAAA